GCCACACACAAGCACCAACACATGTACCCACAAAGATACATAGACCCATATAGATGCATATGTACACATATGTATATGCATACACATAGACACATATACATACATGCACATGAACTCATATACACAAATATAAATGCACAGCCACATATATAAGCATTCATGCATAAGAGTATGGGAAAGCATAGGTCTACACATAGTACTTATATATTCATAGAATAAACATATTGGAATGTGTTTTAGAGTGTTGATACATATGACAGAACAGTAAGATAATGCTGGGATAGTGTTCATGTAAAGTGTTGGTAGTGGGACAGGAAACCCTTATCAATATTTAGTCCTCTATTCTTGCTGTTAAAGAATGTGATCATTTTGGTTTCAAAAGTTTTTCTTTCTTGGGTATTTTTAAAAAACCCTTTCAGTACTTTGATTTTTAGGTCCTTCATTGAGTGGCCAGGCTGGGTAAAGTGGTGTCCCACAGGAGTGCAGTATGATTCTTCTTTGTGGTGTTTAATGGAGTGTCTGTGCATATTGATTCTGCCATTGCTGGGTGGTTTCCCCAATGTAGCATCCTAGGTGGCATTTTGTGCATTGAATCATGTATACCACATTGCTGGATGTGCAGGAGTATGATCCTTTAATGCTGTAGGTTTTATTGGTGTGTGTGTGTGGCTGTGTTGTCTGTGCATATGTGCTGAAAAGGTTTGCAGCGAGGTTGAACACTCTACTTGATTACTCTACTAGGTTCAATCTTTACTTGAACACTATATATCGCTTTTAATTTAGGTTGGGGTATGTACAATATATACTGTATCAGGTTAAAATAATGCAATATCAGTGTTCTGTTGACATTTATATACAACTTGACCTTTGGTCTCATGGTTATGATGATGAACCCTAATACACCGTTCACTGTTATATATCTCATATATATTCAATCACATTCTGCTCTTCCACTGATGTATATTCACATCCATTCCAAAAGCCATGCCAAAAATATAAGGTAAGAATATTATTTAATCTACACAAATGATAAGGATTCCACTTTAATGAGACAAGCTGATTTTCTGCAAAAGTACAATATCCTGTTGAAACGTGTAAAAGTGGAAAAAAAGACAAAGGCAGATGTATATTTCATGCCCTCTGTGGATTCTCTGCCAGTGACAATTAAACATAAGTCTTTTGACTGAAGCCATTCACCATAATTAAAAGTTCTTGCTCAATTTCTTTTTGATGATCTAACCAGTTTTATATGCTGATGAGATTCCTCTCAGTGATGTGCTTCTCGCCTCTGGCATATCTGCTGTCCTTAATTTGTTTAAAGAGGGATTGTAACCACCTAATTAATCATTTTCTTGACCTTCAGCCTTCACAGTCTTAGTCTATTTAAAATCAAATCAAGGGATTTATGATCTGCTTATTGCATTTCTGTACTGCCAACATTGCTTTCTCGATAACAAATACATGGTCACTTTTTCACCATTATGGGGGCTTCAAATGATTACTAAACATTTTCAAAACATAATCTCACCTTATCAATAGGAAAGTCCAAGCCTTAATGATCAAGAGTACCGTCAATAAAATCTAAAACTTGAATGAAATGTCCTCCAAACTCACCTTTATAATGTGTGAATATCAACTCCGGTTAATATTGCACTTTGTGCTTTGAAAGAACCTGCTCTACACAAACTGCTATCTGTCAGCACAATGGACAGCTCCATATCCATGTGCGCACCCAAAAACACACATAACTGAAGGTCAGATGTGGCTTAAGTTCCCACTGCATGACTACAAACGTCTATTCTCTCACAACATTCCCTTGATGGTCTTTCGTTATATTATTTTTAAACACTATTTTGTATTTCACCATCCTACCAAGATATACCCCATGACCCGTTTTGTGTTTGAACAATTGTGCTTTTTATATACAGACCACACAGTGACAGTCTTATTTCATTTTGTATCAGTATTTCACACTTTGCTATGTCAACAATCATCTTCTTGTTACTTTCCCTTCTATTAAACCATGCCAGCATTTTATATAGTGCCATGTTGATTAATGGGACACTCTAGCCACCCGTACCACTCCAGTTTAATGCAGTTGTTCTAGCATCTACTGCCTATCCCTGCAGGCTTTTTAATGAAAGGCAATGTTTACATCACTGGAGGTTTTTAGTTACCTCCAATGGCCATGAGAGGGTATGTCCACATTCCACGTCAAGGCAGACCTCTTAGGTGGGTCATAACTAACCATTTGCCTTGCTTCCTTGAGCTTCTGGCAAAAATATCTCTAATGAGACAGAAAGGGGTATTTTTTATATACATCCCTACATGCTTATTAACCCTTAATAGGGAACACATGGAATGGGCAGCAGCATTGCAACCTAGCTGTGTGATACAAAAGTGAATACAAATACAAAGAAACTAGTCCTGCGCTCCAACTCCCATTACTCTTGGGCGGCAGCAATGACCATAGTACACATCAGCCAAAATATATATAGTAAAAACCAAAGAAAAGAAAAAAAGTTACCTGCGCTCTTTCCACATCCCTATGTATTTTTAAACAAATTTAGGTTTTTAGTTAACTCCAATGGCCATGACAGGGTAAGCCCACCTGCCATATCAAGGCAGACCTCTAACTAACCATTCACCTTGCTTCCTTGAGCTTCTGGCAAATATATCTCTAATGAGACAGAAAGGGGTGTTTTTTATATACATCCCTACATGCTTATTAACCCTTAAAAAATCTGACTGGCATGTATATTGTGTGCATTTACCACTTAATAAAAAAAAAAAAAGATTTGCCCAAATGTTTTGTTTTTTTTTCTCTCAAAACTGTAAATGTACAGAATATCGGTAAGCTATTGGCCTGAAAATTCACAGATTATCGGCTAAAAAAAAATCAATCAATCAATATTGGTCGATCCCTAACTTAAGTTCATTGAAATGGTCTGGTGCATGATGACATCCAGCGTCACCCGAAACACAAAAGGAAAGCATTATACAATGATTTCCTATAGGGGGAAATGCTAATGTGAGCATGGAGCTTGCCACGCATACGCATTAGGAGCCCCCGCTGGCTGAAGTCATGAAGGGAGAAGCGGAGGCGGAACCTGAACCAGCACGGAGGGATATCGGTGCTGGAATCAGGTAAGATGAGGTTTTTATGCACCACATGAGATGGGGGGCACTATAGGTCGTGTCAGGAAAACAAAGTTTCTCTTTAAGTATCAAACCATGCTAAAATGGTTTCAGAGGTTAGGGGGTGTTTGGGAGGTTAGGGCAGAACTAGCACCTTATCCTCTTAAGGTGCTATCATGGCTATTGTGGTTGGTGTCCCTCACCAAACTAAAATTGATCTGGTGCTAAGTGTGACTTTAAAATCTGGTCATAGGCTGTAATACAGAAGAGATGATTACTTTAACAGGATGATGTATACACCATGACAACACACACAAAACTGTTTATTTTTTAAATGTACATAAAAGATAATAAAATACTTTGACCCAAAGCTCAAAGTACGGCACTTTAGAGATTATTAGGTTGATTATGCTAACAAAACTAGAGATGTATATGCAAAGTAAGCTACTTCTCATTGAATATAACTAAACATTTCATATTTATATTTAGCCTCTGTTCACACTGCGGTTTCTTTTAGTATGTGCGAACAATGTGCAAGTTAAAGGAATACTGGGATAGACTTGTAACAGTTATTGGTGAACACTGATGAGGTGATAATTAGATTTGCAGAAATCTAGCAAATGTAACCAATTTTAACACTGGGTTTGGTTATAAGCATTTGACACTATAAAACAGAAGGACAGAAGCAGGAAAATATGACACTGTTAAACGAAAAACTAAGGCTAGATATGCTGTCTGCATGACAAAAAGAGGCCAAGTCCAATAGCCTAGTGGCTATACAAACATAGAAACATAGAAACCTAGAATGTGACGGCAGATAAGAACCATTCGGCCCATCTAGTCTGCCCAATTTTCTAAATACTTTCATTAGTCCCTAGCCTTATCTTATAGTTAGGATAGCCTTATGCCTATCCCACGCATGCTTAAACTCCTTTACTGTGTTAACCTCTACCACTTCAGCTGGAAGGCTATTCCATGCATCCACTACCCTCTCAGTAAAGTAATACAAGTCCATAAAGTGCACTAAAATGTAAAGTGCAAGTTTGCTTTAAGCTCCTGATACGCGTTTCGCTCCTGGTATGGGGCTTCCTCAGTCTGTTATAACTTGTGGGGTGTATCCTTGGTCTTTTATGCCGCTTTTGCGGCTTACTTCCGGTTTCCGGAAAAGAACAGTCCTCTGTTTTCAAGACCATCCAGGAGCTTCAAGCAAACTTGCACTTTACATTTTCAGTGCACTCTATGGACTTGTATAGCCACTAGGCTATTGGACTTGGCCTCTTTTTCATCTTTTGTTTTAAAGAGCAGTCCTATGTTTTTTATATAAGTGTTTTATATGCAATAAATTTATTTTTAACAAAGAATCTACTTCTCTGTTGTTCCTGAGACTTCCAGAACGACCAAAGGAAGGAGAGGGGCGTTCTACTAATAGTCCCACTGCAACACTCATGGGAGCCATATGATTTTATTTGGCTCCCGGCTTGTGAGTACATGATCTTTACCATCTTCCTATTTTATTACATATTGACTGTATTACACTATATGGTTTTATGTTCTTATTTTAGGAAGCTTCTACAAGTGTGATCCACCACTGTATGTATTTTATTTAAATGTCAGTGTTTGCCTATCAGTGAGAATTGTGTGTCTGTCAAATATGGTTACGGCATAAAAGACCAAAGATACACCCCACAAGTTATAAAAGACTGAGGAAGCCCCATACCAGGAGCGAAACGCGTATCAGGACCACCCAGGAGCTTAAAGCAAACTTGCACTTTACATTTTAGTGCACTTTAAGGACTTGTATAGCCACTAGGCTATTGGACTTGGCCTCTTCATCTTTTTGTCATGTGTGTGTATGTCAGTGAAAGTGTGTTTGTGTGTGTATATATATATATATATATATATATATATATACATATATACATATACACACACACACACACACACACATTAATAAATGTGCATTATCCACTCAGGCATCATCTAGCACAAAAACCAACACCGACAATAGATGTTGCTCCTGAGAAGTCAGCTCTGTTGCACACACACACACGCGTGTTCATCAGGGGGACAGCAGTGATGGCTGAAGCAGGATGACCACATTATTACCCTGATCCTAGCTTCTAGGCTCCAGGTACTAGCATACAAATGAACAGATACACAGTCACTTCAGGGAGTGGAGACACGGTGGGGTAGCTGCTAGCTCCCATTACCGGAGAGGGTTCCAGATAGCCAAGGTTGCACCGTACAAAGGCTGGGGCCAGGCTAAATGCGTAGACTAGGAGACAGGGACGAGACAGTTGAGGAATGACATAATATATGGTATGATATACAAAGTACAATTCCAAGACTTTACTATTAACATGACGTAAAGTCTTGATTTTATTAATGACACGGAGCCAAGTATTATGCTCTTTCCTTTAATTTCCCTCAGCAGCGAAAGAGAGATGTATACAAAAGAGAAAATAACGTAATATTGCATAGCAACAGTGCTACCAAGCAGCATCAACCACTTAGTATATAAGGTGTAGCACTCCAGAACGCTTCGTCTTTCTGAAGCGATCTGAAGACCAGCCAAAACCAACAATAGAAACAACGAACTGAACTGGAAAACCGGATAGTAGCAGTACGTCCATCCTCTATGGGGAACGGTTTAACCCTCTCTCAAAAGTGTGGATGGGAATTGCTTCCCAGGAAGACCTTCACCTATCGAGATCTCATCCTCGTAGGGATCAGAATACTGGTCGTCAGAATATGGAACCGCAACTCGCGCCCCAGCCATGTAAGCTCGCGTCCGATTCTATCATGAGGTCTGGGGTGGAACCTAATATCGCTCGCCCGTTCCATGGTTCCGGGTTAGGCGTCTCGTGCGATTGGCCACTTCTTAAGCAGGATGCTTTCAATCGTTGCAGAGCCCGGTAATGAAGTGGACCCGTGAAAATCGCCTGGATGGAGACGGACAATAAGCCGATGACTCTTGCCAACTGTCTCAGTGATATGTCTAGACGGGTCATCAACCGTTTTATTTCCTTCTTGATATTGGAGATCTTTTCTGCCAGAAGACATAGGATCTGTTGGATGGAGTCGACTCGAAATCCCAGTAATTCCAATTGTTGGGAAGGTTGGAGAACAGATTTCTCACAGTTCACCAGGAAACAGATTCTGAAGGAGATGTAATGTCCACGACAAATGGACCGTCAGTTGATCTTGTGCCTGTGAAAGTATGGGGATGTCGTCTAAATATATAATGAGCTAGGGGTGGCCAGAGAGAATTCAGAAGCCTTAGGAAGGTAACCACTGGTTTCAGGACTTTCGTAAAACACCAGGGAGCTGAGGACAGTCCAAAGGTAAGGCATGTGAAACGCCACTTCTTTGTTCCCCATCGGAATTGTAGTAGATTCCTATGGTCTGCTGCCATGGAGACTGTTGGATAGGCATCTTTTAGATCGAGCTTGACCATCCAGTCCCTCGGTAGAAGCAGGTCTCGGAGGCAGTGGATGTCCTTCATCTTGAAATGCCGGTATTGAACAAAAGCATTCAAGGGTCACAGATTTATGACCGGGCGGACGCCTCTGCCCTTTTTTGGCACCAGAAACAGGTTGCTCAAAAAAACTGGTGTATCCTGAGCGATTTCCTCTATGGCATTCTTGGCCCTCAGTTCCCTGATCTCCATGGAGAGGATATCGAGGTGAGGTTTGGGCATATTGAGCACCTGCGGAGGAGCGTCCTGAAAGGGAAGTGCCATTAATTCCAAGTGATACCCCTAATAGTGTGTAACACCCATGGTATCGGAAGTGATCATAGCCCAAGCTCGGTAAAACAGGGCTAGTCTTCCCCCCCCACATTTATATGGGAAAAATAGGGATATATAGTACTTACCATAAGGACGTTTTCCTGGGGTCGTTCCCCTGACCACTGCGGACATTCCAAGGTTGTCCTCGTGTAGGAAAAAATGTGATTTATGAACGCTCTTGTACTGGTCTTTGTGAATTGAAGGAGCCTCTGCCCGGTCTGGAGAAACCCTGGGGATTGCAGCCAGATAGACAGCTCCGACCTCTACCGGCCCCACTGAAAACCTTTTCGTGGAAGACTCTCTTGATTGAGGACTGGGCCTTATCTAAAGCTGTGAAGGTCTTCACATATGAGCCCAGGTCCTTCACGAAGGTCTCTCCAAACAATAAGCCCTTAGCGGAAGCTCCCGGTTCAGTGGTAGCCATGCTAGCCAACTTAGGCTCAATTTTCAGCAGAATAGCCTTCCTGCGCTCTGTGGACATTGCCATATTGGCGTTGCCAATCATGCATACCAAGTGAAGTAGCCAACCAGAAGCCACGTCAAAGTCCAACTGGGCTTCACCTGATTGCACGTCCTCAAGTAGTTTGTATAGTTTGGTGACTGGGCCCAGGGTGTCTAAGAACTTGTCTTGACAATTGCGCAAAGAATAATCCAAGCCCTTTCTTGGCTTCCACATGGTTTTTGACAAGAATTGGACAATTTGTGGGTCCACCTCAGGGGTTTTTGCCACCACGTCAGGTATGACGGGTCAGTGGCATTCGGCCCTCATTTTATTACGACCCTCTTGGGAGAGGGATTTACGTACTCTCAGCGCTAGATGTTGAGCAATATGCTCCGGTGGTTCCCATTCAGCGGAGCGAGGGTGGCGTAAATTATCCAGATCGAACAAAAGTGTTGCCTGTGTGTCTTGGACTTCGCCCGACCCTGGTATATACGACGGCGCAGTCATTAGAGCTGCTTTAGTCGGTGTGGCTAGGAATTGCTTCCCAGGAAGGCTCTTGCCTTCCGAGATCTCGTCCTCGTAAAGATCAGAATACTGGTCGCCCGACCTCTTCTCTTCACTATACTCCAAATCAGACATCACATCTTGGGCCCTTGCCCGTTTTCCAATGTCTGGCCGCTTTTGCCCGGCCAGTGGCTCCAATGCGCGGTTGTTGCGCGCCATCATAGACAGCGTGAGGCGTGTCAGTCAAGCAAGGGTTTTACTGGGTGAGAGGAGGGTCATAAGCGTGTTTGCGCTTGCTCAGGGTCTTGCGGCCTGGCAACTCTATATCAGGGGCGGCAGCAGTCTGCACGGGGGCTATAATGGCATGGTGTGCCTGCTTCAGAGCCTGTGTGATGGAATGCGTAATGGTGGAGGACATAGCACCCATGGCCGATGTTATGGCCTTACTAATGGAGCTGGACATAGTGGCATCCAACAGGCTTTGGAACTCCTCTGAACCCATGAGACTGGCTTCATTAGCAGGGTCAGAGATAGGGGCCCCCAGCAGACTGCCTGCTGAATAAAGTTTTAATAGAAATAACAAGGACAAAGTGAGGCAAGGATTGCTTAACCCAAGCACACCAAGTGATAGGAATCAAACTGAGTGAGAGATAATACAATAGAAGCAATTAGCAACAGTACCAGGGACCAGGAGCGTGCCAGAGGGAGAAGAGCCGTGCACCGCAAAGAGGAGACCAGACCCACGCCGAGCTAAGCTGTACTGGGTTAAAAAAATAAAATAAAAAAAAAAAAGTCAGTCACCAAGAGGGGTGACAATGGGAACCCAGAAAATGGCCGCTGAGAGCGCACTGCGTATGTGCGGCGCTCGCAAGCGGCACAAAGCAAACGAAAACTACACACAGCTAAAAGAAGCCGCGGGTGGTTGCCGGCAGTACAAGGCCGGGGACGGTAGTGAGGGAGAGGGGAAGAGACCCTTTCTGCCAATCCCAGCTCCAGCAAATACAGTCTCCCAAGGGAAAAACAAAGGGGAATTAGTAAAAACCCACCCAGAGAAAAAGGGGCAAATAAGCAGGCACACTCTCCAGGTCCAGAAAATAAAGCATATAAGCATCAATAAAATACTGAAGTGTAACATAAATGCCTCACATTAACAAGACAATGTGCAAAGAGAATAATGAATGTAGTTAGCTGGTCTGAGGGAGCAGCGAAGAAACAGGAAGAGTTCTGGAGTGCTACACCTTATATACTAAGTGGTTGATGCTGATTGGTAGCACTGTTGCTATTCAATGTTATGTTATTTTCTCTTTTGTATACATGTCTCTTTCGCTGCTGAGGGAAATTAAAGGAAAGAGAAAGCATAATAGGAGCCTCCGTGTCTTTAATAAAATTCAAAACCCCATATGTCGAGAAGTAACATGTGGATGGTACAAGACAACTAACATGTGTTCCCCATTAACGAGTCCCCTCTCCCTTTCTGTAACCCAAAAAACTTGGAAATCAATAGAAATTGACAAATTAAAATAAAAATAAATGTGCATTATTCTAAAGTGATTGTAAAATAAGAAATCCCATCTAAACATTGTGCTAGCTGAAATGCTAGCAAATCTATAGATTTTCATCTACAGCTCTTTTAAAATTTGACCTATCCCCTGCCTGTCAATGAAATCCTCAACATCAGATGTCTAATGCCATAGACTCAGTGGCGTACATACCAGGGTCGCAGGGGTCGCGGCTGCGACCGGGCCCGGCACACCAGGAGGCCCGGCCGCCCCTGCGACCCGGTATGTAGCCACAGGGCCAGCCTCTTCCCCTGGGGGGCCCAGGAGCCGACAACCCCAGGGCCCCCCGTGGTGCTGTCACCCGGCGGGCAGGTGGCCGGTCGGGCAGGCGGGCGCGCGAGGTCTTCAGCTCCCTCGCGCACCGCACTGATACCGGAGCCGGAAGATGACGTCACTGAGTGCTCCCTCGCGCGCCCGCCTGCCCGACCGGCCAGCCCAGCAGCACCACTAGACTCCCGGGAATCCCTCCAGCACTCCAAAAGGTAAGGAGGCTTGGGGGATTACATTTTAAAAAACAAAAGTTAGTGTTAGTGTGAGTGTTTGAGTGTGTGTGAGTGTTAGTGTGTGTGTCTGCTAGTGTGAGTGTTAGTGTGTGTGTCTGCTAGTGAGTGTTAGTGTGTGTGTGTGCCTGCTAGTGAGTGTTAGTGTGTGTT